AAGACCACTGTGATCAGTTATTTTGACTTCTTCCTTAATACAAGACACAGGACTTCCCTGAATCTTTGAAAACACAAATCTCTCTTTTGCCATAGAATGGAAAACCATAAATGTATATGTTACTCTGAGGTACTTCTGTTTATATTACATAGGGTTCTATGAATAATTTGGGTTCATTCTGTAGGATTGTTAAGTGAAAGGGAGCTATACTGTCTCGGCTGGATCACAAATGAAACACCCTAAAATATGCATGGAAGCACTCGTACGGTATAAATAATATTTTTAATCAGTCATTGAAATAATAATATAAAGTTCATTTTATTAACGTTTGAAAAATAAATGTCTTCACCTTCCTTCACTGGACTTTAAAAGAGGAAAGTTTTACATTCCCTGTGAAAAAAATAAAGTAAAAAATGTTTAGAGAAATGAGCAATCTGACTGGTTAGAGATCACAAATCACTAATAATAATAAGCTCTGAATATCAGATGCCAAACAGCTGCACAGCCTCTTAAACCTAATTCTTCTTTCTTGGAGGATATGGCAAGTTTGGAAAAGAGACAGTTGCCAAACCAACCACAAGATGTAGGCAGAAATTTTTCTTTGAATAAGTCACTGGCACCCGTGATAAAACCAGGCACAAGTGTCTTGGCATGAGGGAATGCTGCAAATTGGTGTGCACAATGAAGACAGAGCCCATGAAGACTGGAGACAGAAAACACAAACCCAGCCCCAATAGTGTAGTAAACAATTCACTCAAAAGCAGGAGGTGATAAGTGTAGAGTTTATTGGATATATCGCTAGCTGTTGCATGCTTTCCCATTACACGACAAGGTACTATACAGTTTATTCCATTGCAGTTTGCCACCTGGTATAACAATGTATAAAATTGAAAGAAAAAAATATTTGGAAAAGTCATATGAATGTTCAAAAAGTAGATGGAAGATGATTATGCCTCTGAGTCCTTTCCTCACACTTGCACTTTACAGGGCAGGTGTCAAAATTTCAATTTATACATGTAAGAATTATGGAAAGTTTTAAATGCTCAGTATGGAATATTCATTCCTAGCAAGTGCCAAATATCTCAGCTTTACAGATACTGGAAAAGTAATTAATCTACTACTCTTTGTAAGCTCCACTCATAGTCTTAATACCCTCCTATGTAAATACAAATCCCTTCAATAATTGTTATTTTTCAGCACTTTGTATTATGGAAACGTGGCATATTACAAAAAGTATAGAGTATCCAGGCTTCTAGAAACCTGTGGGAGAGTTGTACAAGTCACAGTCTGTCAGCAGCATCTAAAGGTCCAGCCTCAGAAAATATTTATTCTGTGGAGCACCCTTCTCTGCCCTGAACCATTTGTACTTTGTCAGATATCAGAGCAGAAATGTAGTAAACTGTGTAACCTGCCAGTGCCCAGGGAACAATGGGTTTTGGTTTAAAAAAATAAATTAACTTTCACAACTTGACAACTTTGTGCTTTCTTTCTGTTCCTTTTTTTCTCCTGGATCAGTGGAAGTAAGTTACACATTACCTTGTCATAGGGAAACAAGAAATATCTGACTAGAAAAAGATGATTCCTCTCTGGTTTACTCTGTAGTCATTCTGTGTTCCTCCTGTCAAGCTTCATCCGGGATCATCCAGAATTTTTAATTAATACAGACTAGTATGGTGGCAAAAGAGTTTGTAGAGAGATAGGAAAGATTCCTCCTTAGTGAAAGAAGATGAGGTTGCAGAAAACCACTATTGCAGTAGTTGAAAAGGCAGTTCAGTTACAATGATGCACAGGATCAGAATGATTTGTCAAATCCAAGCCATTTAATAGAAAGCCTGACTGATACAGCCAATTAGAAGATGAGTGAACAGGGAAGCATGTGTCTAAAATCCTGCTCTTCTGGGACCAAGGGATCCCTCCTATTTTGAATTCACATTTTGAAATGCTGCTCTGGAGCTGCAAAGGGAGGGCTTAGGTCAACACTGAATCTAGAGCAGTCCTTTTTTTCACATTTCCTCCTTATTTGTCACTGCTGACAACACATTAGTTACAGTAATTTTGGGGGATCAAGGCTATCACTGCTCAAGTCTTTCTTCTGTGTAGGTCTTTTGGAAGGATCAAACATGGCCCTGTAGCATCACTGAGTGGGAGAGAGTCTTGGATGCCAGTGAATAATTAATATGATCCAGATGAAGCTAAAAATACCCTTCCAGGAGAATCCCCTCATGCTCATTCTTCAGCTCATATAGCTGGTTTTGCCTGTACGCTGTCTGAATACAGATAGTGCTCCTTCCATCCTCCCTCTCACATAGGTCCTTCACATAACCTACAAAACAAGCTAAGCCCTGGTGGCTGGGGTACTTCTCTCAGGGGCTTCCACATGGTCTGTGAGAACTAAAATGACGGTGGCGTTGGATAAAAGACAGGGAATGACCACATTTTGCCTGGAGCCCATTCCATAGGGTGTGGGCTGAGAGCAGGTTGAGCAGAAAGATGTTTAATTTGTTTCCTCTGTCAGGGCACAGAGATAATTTAACCACTGAGTTGCTTAGTGCTGCCAGAACTGAGGCATCTGAGAGCTGAGGACCAAAGCTGAAGCACCTGGGGATGCACTTGAAGATTACGGACTTTCTTAACACAAAGGTGAGTCAGCTGCTGAAAAAAGTATGTGGTTGCATTTATAGGTACTGAGATGTAATTCAGGATGAACAAAGCTGGTTTAAGATTTTATCTGGGGATTTCCTAGTCCTCTGTGATTCTGAACAAGCTAGGACATCTATTGGTTCACCTGTCTTCCATTTGTACACTGGGGTGATAACAGTTATGCAGCCACAGAGGTATGCTAACAGATAAATTGTATGATAGTTAAAGCCTTATGCTATGCAGTACATAAATAAGGGGTTATTTAACACACTCACAACAACTTTATTACCTTCATTAGTAAAAATATTGCGTGAATTCCCCCTTAAAGCAATGAACTTTGCCATCTTCATGACCATGAGGAATGCCCTATGTCTTCAAATTCTTATGAGGCAAACTTCTGAGATAGTCTCCAAGAGATTGGTGTCTGGAGCTGTCTTAGCAGAGGATATTCCCAAAAACCTTCCAGAAGAGACTCATCCAGGGGTACTTGTTTTCCTCTATCATTAGTCTTCAACTTGTACTGTAGATAAATAGCAAAATTCATATTCTTTCCAAGGCTATATCTTTCCAGCTGTGAAAAGTGTGAAGTGCTCTGGCCAGAAGTTAAAAAGGTAAAACATGGATGTGTACACCTATGCTCTTCCCTCTGTCTTATCCCCTTCTTTCTGCTATGCTCCTGTTGTACACCAGAGAGCAGCACTCTGACTTGGGGAAAAAGTATGCAAGACATCCAACACATGCTAGGCGAAGCAAGATAGGCAGGACTGCTGCATCAAGTCATTCTTCATAGAAGTTCACACTACTGAAGAAAAAACACCTCCTTGCTATTCTAAACAAAACCTTATTATAGAAGGGTTTTCTTCTAAGTAATATTGGAGCCAACAGATGTACTTTTCATACATACTTCCTGTTGCTATGTAACTTTCCTCTAGCAACTGAAGCTCAAGCAGTGCAGGGTCAGATGCATAGTCCACAATCCCAGTGAAGAATGCCATTGACCTATTTTATCCAAGATTCCCAGGGCATGGCCTTCTCTAACAAACAACAAGAGACTTTGGGGCTAGAATACACCCTGGCAACAGCACAGAGATGGTTATCAGAATCTCTGTGGTAGTTGCCATCATGCAAGATTATGGCAAAGTATGACTTCACAGACTATATTACTATGGCTTTTAAATACCCTGCCTAGATTATCCCAGTCTGTTCCTGCTATCTTCATTACTTACTTCTGTGCAATAAGTATTACCTAATGTCTGTGACTTGTAAACATTTGATTATAAATTCAAATACCTGTAAAATTCCCAGTTAAATATTAGCTGCAGATAGGTTGAAACACGGATGTTCTGGAATTAGTCCAGAAAGCCAGATTTAACCCCATGGCTTCCCAGCAAAACAATTACAGATCTTGAAGGACAGGAGTAAGGCTGGGACCAGTCACTCCAGCCATGGCCTCCATGTGTACTCAGGGAAAACTTACAATTCCTTGACTCCAGGATCTGAAACTTTGTCATTAATTATACCAATCATCTATTTCAGTTGCTTCTCTTGTCATCCCGCTTACAACTGTCCCCACATCACCCTTCTTTTGTGCACTCAGCTGGGGGTGTGCAATAACTACCCTGCTGCACCCAGTGGCTATAACAACTCTCCTCCCACAGATAAACAACTGGTACTTTGGCCCTTCATGTTCCTTGTGCTGGAGGATCTTCTGCCCTCATGTCTGAACCCAACACAGTTGCAACTTTACCATGGTGTCCTTCATCGACTATGTCAGAGACTATGAATAAACGAGTTTATGAAAAACATTTGAAATAATTCCATTGATCATACACCACAGTGCCTTTAAGTTACCTTGGAGGTGCTTTCAAAGTCTGCTATGGGGCCTATTCGTAAAAGACCTGGAAGTGTTTTCCTGGTACCACAGGTATCAGGCAACAGTGTATTTAAGTCATATTAACTGCAAATGGAGCAATCAGTAATTTCCAGACTTCATGTATTTCATCAAAAACCTTGTTCCTGAAAAGTCTAGAAAATAGACATGTAAGCTTAGTTAAAACTGCACTGTATCTCTCCCATGTATTCCAGAATAAATGGCTAAACTTTCCCAGTCACTCAAAACAGGTGACTAACAGCAGAAAATATCTTGCTCTTCTCCCCTTAGATCTCCTAAGCAATCATTTTCCCTGCTCCCTGAGCCCATGGATCAGTGACAAATCCTCCAGTATTATAACTGAGTTATAGCTGTGGGGATGTCAGTGCCATTAGTAACTTATCTGCTGAGAACAACTAGTGCCTGTTTCCTTGTTTGGTTAAACAGTCTTGCCCTCATCCTACCTCAACATTTCCTGCACATAAAGATAAAGCTGATGTCTATGCTTGCCAACAAACTGCTGTGACAAAAACCAATAAGAAAAACATAAAACCAGCAACTTGAAATTGTTGGCTGCTCACTGCAAAAACCTCTGGAATGCAAAGACTGTTATTGCAAGAGGAATTCCAGGCACATGAACACAGGTTGGAAAGGACTTGCTACCTTCAGTCTTCTTGGGATTGACAAGAGATTATAAGGATGACATTTTAAGGAGGGAATTGTTTATTTGTGATAGAAACGGGAAAAACAAACCCTTGGTTACTTTTTTGAACTATGAACAGCTTTCAGAGACATTTCTCTTATCAAAATGTCTTGCAAAATCTGAGGGTGGGGAAATGGTTGGAGAGCTCACAACTTTTCAGAACTACAGCTAAACAAGTGAAAATGCAGCCCAGGAACTGGCAGAAAACTGCCTTTCTGTGAGCAGGGAGTTGACTGAGAAACCTTGCAATGACCCAGGAGTTGGTAGGAAAGGACAGGGAGATTAATGTGATTCTGAACAGACAAGCAGCCCTTATGGAAAGCATGATGCACTGAAGCTTCCCTCCCACTCTCTCCTTTCCTCGGCACCATTCTGCATCCTGAAGTGGGTCTGTCTCTGGATCCCCAGGCCTCCAGAAAGCCATCAGACTGGAAAAACAGGTCCTCAAGGATTCAAAACACAGCTCCTTCTCCTAAGGCACTGACCACAGCAGTGCCCACCTCAGATCCCTCCAACCCAAGTAAGACTTTATTGCTGCAATAATATTGCTTTCAGCTTTTCAAATGCCTGAAGGGTCATTAGGCAGAAAACCCACAGCCACAAACAGCTGTATCCTGTAATGTTCAGGGCTGTGGGAGCTGTCTGCATTGCACTGTCACTGATAAGTTCGAAACACAGTATTTGCCCCATTTTCCTTTTTTTTTTTTTTTTTTAATTTATAGTGCTCACAGTATGCATTCACCATTTTCCCATGTTTGCACTTGGAGGGCTTTTTAAGAAAAAAACAAATTTATTTTTCTTTTACTTGTTGCTATAATTTTAGTTTGCATTTAATACCAATGGTTTGAAATGACTGAAAAACGTAGATTTTTTTAGACCTTTATTTGCAGGAGTTAAGAAGTTTGTGACACACTCAGGGAGACAAGGGTCCAGTTTAATATCCTTTATAAGCAATCTAACTTGTACTCAAGAAAAGCACTCCACAAAATGAGTTAATAGGTGGTAAACAGCTCCAAATCATGCTAATTCTCCAAATCAGAATACCTGCATAGTCCAGGCAATGTCATCTTACCTGCTTCATCTAAATTCATGTTCCAATGCCATCCTGATATTCTCCAGCTAATTATTAAGTTAACTGTTGTTTATTGGTGTAGTTTTTGTTATTGTTGTTGTTGTTATTCAGTCAATATTTTATCAAGGAAGGTAGAGAACATCCTCTCGTCAAGGAGAACATAAGACTAATTGGCAGTCACTGTTACGCAATCATCCAGAGAGTTAAATTTGGTCTCTGGTACTGTTTCTGCCACCAAAGACCCTCCCAGATAATTCCCAGTCATGCTTTAGGTAGCACAGTTTAGGGATGACCCCTTTTTCTGCTTTGGAGGGGTAAGAAAGCCCCACAGTACTAATGGGAGTCATGTCATGCCCAGTGACCTCAGGGACAAATAATGGTCTTTGGCCCATATAATTTCCTAATACAGATGTTGTTCCTCTGCCCACAGTGGACTTGAGACCACATTTTCATTAAAAATAGAGGAATGAGCTGCTGCAGCCCTAGCCCTGTGCATCAGATCATTACAAATCCTTCTGGAACTGCCTGATTAATCCTTTGTTATCCGGACTTCCTGCCAGCACCCTGTCACTGCCTCTCATCCTAATCCTGTGGCACAATCCCTTCCCATCAGGTAACACTCAGTTTGACTGCCCAGAAGGGCAACGTGCAGGGCGAGGTGTCTTCAGGACTGTGCTGTGAGTGTTCAGTCTGGACTGGAAAGGCCTATAAGTAATGTAATAAATGTATGGACAGACTATTTCCTATCAGATACAAAAAATATACAGAGAAAGTCTGGGCTAAAAGGCTTTTGGTTTTGGTGTCCTGAACTCAGTAGTTACAAAGTGAAGCAAAGCAACATTTACAACTGTCAAATGAAGTCAATACTACATATTCTTTAATCTCAAAAAAATGAAATGAACTGAAGATTTATAGGTCTCTCATCTGGGATGAATTCCAGTTGATATTTAGGACCAGTATTGAAGCTGATTCCAGTTATCCCAAGCTGTATGTACCTCCTTTTTCTATTTGCATCACACCTTTCAGCCTGCTCCAAAGATTAAAATGTTTTCCTGAAGGACCTTTCTAGAAATCAGTTTACAAACTCATTTTCCTCTTGCTGGAGCTGTCTCAAAAGAGAGGAGTCACAGAGTCCCACTGTTAAGGTGCAGCTTGGGCTTCAGAGAAGGTTTTGATCTTGCGGCCAAAGATTCTTCTGTCTCTTCTACCTGCTAAGTAGGACTAGTTTTTTGCAATTCTCCACACTCTTGCCTTTTCCACTTGTTTCACTTATGTCTGTGTACCAATCTTGCTTTTTTTTTTTAATCCTGATCTCAGTTTTAGGCTCCTACCCAGCCAAGTCACTGGCACAGTTTAATGTTCGTGTAAGTCAATTTGCACCAAAGAGGGATCCCACTCTCTCTCCACATTCCAAACATGCTCCTTCACCTATCCTTGACTGCAGTTGTCAGTTCTTCTCCCATATCCGAAAGCCTATGAATAGTATTAGTGTTCTGTGAGGAAGTCATCTGCATCTTTTAGCATGGGACAAGAAATTAGTTTTCATAATTTTAAAAAATAATTGTTGTGTTTACCTAAGCTGTCCTAATATTATTTTGTTTCAAGCTAACACCCACCATCAAAAATCACAATGATGGTTGTGACAGTTCAGAAAAATCATAAAGAAGTCAGAATAGTGCTAGTTTCTACCAAACTTCTGAATTTCTCTTTATAAACAGAAGCTTGCACTTGTTTGAAGGAACCTAGGACTTCCGTACTTCATTCATGTCCTCTGTCCTACCAAAAGACTACCTCATCTACTGGAACAAAGGCCACATGCTGAAAGGAACACATACATCTTCATGATGTATGTTTGGCTCACAGCCTGAAGCCTCAGCTCTATATCTGTAGATGTTTCAATAAGTTTGGTAGAATGGTTGTTAAAATTGACTGCCAAGTCCTGAGACAGCTGCTAAAATCTGCCTGCAGCAAGCACTGCTCCTGGTGGTTCTTGTCCTCATTATTTTCAGATTGCTCCTCCCTCTACTGACACCCACTTGTTTGTGCTTGGGTTTGGAGTCCCTGGGTGCACCCCATGGCCCCATCTACACTTGCAGTGCTCTCATCACCTATATTACTTTGGCCACACAGCCTTTGTGACCCCTTTGGCCCACCACTGAGTTTGAAGAAGGATGCAACCAGACCAGGTCCTTCACTGGATGCAGCAGGCACTGGACTCTCTGAAGGGAGGACTTTTAACGCTTTCTATCCTTCAGGACAAAGGAAAACAAGATAATTAAAACCAGTGAACTCAGGGAGGTGTTAGCTGCTGCCTCACACATTGGGTTTATAGGCTGAATCTTGTTCTCTTTAGGCTTCCAGATTTTTCTCAGTTACTGTTTCTCCTGTCACATACTCACTATTTCTTCTGTCATACACTCACTGCTTCTGCCGGCCCTTTGGAAAAACTTTTCTACAGTCCTGCACTTCATCAGTATAATAATTATTTCAGGCTTCCCTGTTAGACATAGCAAGCTAGTGTGAGGCACAGGGAAGTAAAAGGAGGTATTCTTCTTAGTTTCAATATGCTTTGAATGAGGTATTTTTGCTTGATAAATCCTTTTTTTTTTTCTTCCCTCTTCTTCTTTCATTCACTGTGGTATTCAATATGTGTGTGACTGTGCATGACTGTGTGTTTGTGATCTCCATCTCCTCGAATTTTAGAGCTGGGAAAGATACAAATTTGGGAGATAAACTCTAAAGACATCATCGATGAAGCATTGAAGCCAATTCCATATTTTAATCCTGCATAAATTATCCTGGAACACAGCCCACATTTATGATGTGTGAGAGAACAGAAAAATAATGGGATTACTCAGAAGTTTCAGATGATTATAAACATATGGTGCAGGATGGTATAAGAACAAAACGTACTAAGCAAAATATCATCAGTAAATGAAAGGTTAATAATGGAAAAAGTAAGTTTGGAACCTCATATGTGGCCTATTATCAAACACTGCTGACACGAAAGAATTCCTGGAGAACTGTTAAAAGTGGACAGCTAGTAGTTTAATGACTGTAACAAGAAAACTTTAAGTCATTGGAAAGGAAACTATATGATTATAAAAGAACTCATCACATATTTAAGCCTCCTATGAAAAATGGTAGTTTTGTGCCTGAGGTTCCGGACTGGGACTCAGATCTTGATTTATTTCCCAGTTCTGCTACAGATTTCCTCTGTGACCTTGGGCCAGTTACTTTGGGAGAAACATGTTAGAGCTTATGAATCCAAGCCCCTTTTCCAAAAGAGACATAGCAGCAGATTCACAAAGGGGCAGGCATGTAGGAATGCTGACCATAGCCAGGGCTACCCACAAAGTGACAGTGTGCTGCCCTAATACTTTCCAGTTCTGAGCATCAGCAGCCCCAGGGGAGATGGCTGTCTTCTGAAAAGGAATAGAAAATGAGCAGAAGATGGTATTGGAGGGATCAGCTGGTACTGTGGAGCAGGCAGTCTTGGGACCTGCTCCCTCTCATGGTTTCCATATTCTTCTCATCACTGGGAGAGGCTCTGGTGTGATGCCTGGATCTGTGCAGACAGAAGATGTCAGGAATTACATGGTCAGTAGGATTACCCTGAGAAACACAGGGTCTCCTGGCTATTGGCATCCTGCTTGGGTCAAAAAAAGAAAGAATCGGGAACAATCATCTTTCTCAGGGACAAGTGGTTTTGGTGTAGAAAACCTTCCACTTGGTTAGCTGCCCACCAACATCACTCAGCCTCAGAGCTCAAACATCATTCCCAAAAGTCCAAGGTAAGTGGAAAGAAAGACAGGCAGGATGACAGGGGCATGTCATCCTCTCCTACCCCCAATCTGTGAAGCTGAACTGTAGCAAAACTGCAGACCTCCCTTTTCTTGCTTAGATTTTTGGGCTTCAGTATGAAATAAGTGTTTGTTTGTGCAGGAATTAGCTTCCTAAGGAAATTTACATAGCAACCAAGCAAGCATGTAAACTTGAAGCACCTAAGTGTTGTTGCCTCCAGCTTTCAAACAGCTTTGAAAAATGGACCCTTTTTGCTGCTCCCAGCTTGTGAAGTAGAAATAGCAATAGCAGAGTATTCTTTGTCTCCCTCATCCTATATTAGTCCATGCTGTACATAGTCCCAAAACTCAGACACAAAATAGGAATGCAAGAAGTAATAAACCTGTAATGTAGGTAGGGGAGCCAAGGATGGGTATTCATTCTAGTTTTCCATATGCTATAGCAATGATAAAAGGATCTTACAGGCATCTCTTCCTCTGCCTTAATATGTAGCATGGTCATAACTCAGAAACTTCTTTGGACAGGATTCACAAACTGCTGTGTCTGTGTAAAGTCAGTTGAAAGTAAATAACTTACTTTCTGCTTCAGTCTCTTGGATATCTCCATTTACCATGGTTTGTTTCATTCTGCATGGAAGTATATAAAACTTAAGGTATGTAATAGACCACAAAGGTGAAGAATATTAGGTTTCTGAGAATCAAAATGTCCTAGCAGAGAACCTTCCATAAAAGCATATATTTTGTTGTCAGTGGTTTTGGCATAAGCAAAAATTCCATACAAAGCCCATGAAAAAGTGTAGTAAAAGAGGGTAGAGGTGGATGTGTATCATTCAAAATGAAATGTTTTAGTAATTAATGTTTGCTGACAGGAGTGGGGAAGTACAAAGAAATTCAGAAACATCAAGGTAAATATTTTCACTTCCACCAAAACATTTTCAAGTTATGAGTGTCCACCTACATCTACTGCTGTCTTAGCAAAGTCAAGGAAGTCTGATCTTCCTTCTAGCTGTGCTTGATGCACTAGAGGAAAACTATTATGAGTAGTGACTGCTGCAAATTTGCATTTCATCAAAGTTGTATGACACTTCTGGGTGAGAGTAGGAACAATTTCATACATGTAAGTAGCTGAAGTCTTGGTTAATAGGTTAGGTTCCACATTCAGAAAAGAAAGTTTCTGTCACTGTGACCTTTTGTATCTGCTTTTATAATCAATGTGATCAAAGCAGTCCTCCTGTCATGGGACAGGATTCCCTTCTGGAATATTTCCACAAGACTGGAGACAGCTGTTGCAAAAAACATATTTTAAAAAGCTGCAGGAAATCTGTCTGTAACTGATGCTTTTCCCAAGTTTTAAGTCTTGAAAGAATCTTTCTGTTTCCTGTAAGTACATGTCTCTCTTCATCTGATGTATCTGCTTATAGAGGGGAATCCTTTCAGTGTGAGTTTTTCACTGATGTTTGTCTAAAATGACTTTGGTTAAAATTATCTTTTTCTGAATCTGTTTGCCAACGTATTTGTCTTTGACAAACTACCATTGAGTCATAAGCTTCTAGGTCAAGGGGGTCATTATGATCATCCCATCTGACCTTGGGTATAAGGCAGCACAGTTTCAGTTGTTCCTATAGGTATTCTGCTGCTTCTGGTTAATGAGCTCATCCTTCAAGAGGGACAGATTTCCTGGGGATTAGACTGCCCCTACTAGGACTACAAAAACCAAGGAAACAGCTGAGTAGTTCAGGTGACTCCTTCTGAATGTCCTGGTTGGGTCACATCTGTGTTCTACATGCTTATTTCTGAAAATTAACTAGTCACAGTTAAGTTTAGTCCTAAATTAGTCCCAGTTAGTCCCTAATTAGTCCCAGATAATTTTCCATTTATTCTTTCTTAAAATATTGCTGTGTGTAAATTGCCCAGGAGCACCATAGGAAGTGCAAGGATACTGAAAACACTGGTTTTGTGTCATGGTTTTACAGTGCCGCCAAAACTGGTGTCATCTAAGCATTGGTCTGTGGCGAGATACACTGATGTGGTTCCAAGGAATTTATATGTACTGAAATCACACAGTGTGTGAAGAAGCACAGGTTCCCTGCCTGTGGGCTGGCCATCTCTTTTCACAGCTCAGTGAAACTCCATCTCTTCTGTTGTTGGCAGTATGTTGCTATTCCTTCACTCCCACAGTTTGGAGGTAAATGATGATCCTTCAGGACAGATCTCTGCAGTTTTGCTTCATGCTTCACTGAAGCATAAAATGTGGTGTACATTGACTCCATTGCTGTGGTTTTCTTTCCAGGCACATAGCTGCATACTCTTCCCAGTGCAGCATCCCACATCTTTGGGAACTCTGAAAAGGGTTTATCAGTCTGAAGAGCTTTGTGCCCAGAACTTGCATAGCAGAACCATTTTGCAGTGAACAGGGTTCAGAGTTATTTACCGTATGAAGCATTTCACAGGCTGTTGAGCACTCCCACTAGTACATCATAAGCTTTCTTTTTTGACATCCTGAGCCCTCTCCTTACATGTCCTCCACTATCTCCAAACTCTGCATTTCCTTCCATTTTTATCTCTCTTTTTTTTTGTGATGATACAGTAAGGAAAATAAAGACTGTTGCCAAGTTTGTTTACTTTGCACTCAATAATTCTAAATTCAAAATCTGTGGTGATAAATACGGCATATATGTTTTTAATTTCACCTGATGGATAACAATGTCCTAGGATCTTTCAGCACTCCCTAGTAAGAAGTTCTTACTGCAGTCTTATTTTCTGTTTATGAGAGATAAATCACATCTATTTTAGTCTCTATTTCTAAATCTCAATTTATTTGATTCAGAAAGAATGAAGAGCTTTCCTGTCTCTCAAACTTAAATAGTTAAGTCTGTTCATAGATTAACTTTCCCTAGTCTGTGGACTCTTCTAATAATGTCTTGTACTGTAGATTCTTCTTCAAAAAGAGTGTAGAATAGTTTTAAGTGGCTGAACTGTGATTAACCTGTGGGTCCACATGATTGACAGAAACATTCATCTTATCCTATTTTCAAATGAAGGTTCAGACCCTGTTGTAAAGCTATACTTTAAGAACAAGCTATTGGCCTTAATTCAGATATAACCAAATAATGTAACAGTATTTATCAGGTCAAATTTCCTGATGTATAAAAATAATCAGTTCATAAGTTTTTTGCTTTTTTTTCTTGTAATTGTTGTTGTCCAGTTCTGTAACTGTGAAAGAGGTGGTATAGATTTCAGATAATGTGAGTAGAGCCAATTAGGGAAAAGAGAATCCCAGATTTTAAGTGCTTTACAGTCTCTTTAGAAAATAGGCCACCCAAAAAGCTTTCAGCACTAATTGTTCCTGAAAGTGGAATGGCTATTACTTACTGCCACAGGGTCCTCTGATCTTCCTGTGACTCTACATGAGTCTGTTTATTAATGTTTGCTTTAAAAATGGAGCCCTTCTGCCTTTTTTTTTTTTTTTCTGATGTTCTCAGTACTTAGCGTAGTAAAGACTGAAAAACAAACGAGATTATCTGTGACTAATATTTTAATCCAGAGCCCTGGAATTCCTTGTGCCCTATTTGAGCTGTTGCGCAGCAGGCTGCCTGCAGACATGGCATCTCTGTGCTTCTCAGGGACCTGTTGAATCTATTTCTGAGACCTACCTGTTCTGTAAAGGTTAGTGTATGTAGGAAAGGTTTTAACAGCTTTTCATTGCAATTTCACCTAATAATTCTTTCCCAACACTGAGTGTGGATGCAGAGAACATTAATAAATGTAAATACTGAATGAAATACATGGAAAAGCATGAAATCCTACAAACATCGAAGAGAAACATATTAACAGGTAGATATATTTGCCTTACAGAAAATACCTTGAGTTTTCCCGAATTTTCACAGTTCCCTTGAGTGTCCTAGCATGTATCTGTTCAAAGCTTCTCTTCAGAGCAACAACTCCCTATTTGCATTTACTTTATTTTGCATACAGTCAATGGAGCTCATGCAGTGTGAACTTTAGGAACTTAACAAACCAGTCCTCCTAAAGTGATTAAGTTACCATTTTCATCAGTTGAAAAGTTTCCTTTAAATTCAAAGGAGTGAGAGTCTGTATTTGAAAGAGTAGGATAAAGTGTTGTTTTAACTCCATATACCTCTCTAAAGTGGTCTTGGAAAATAATTTAGGAACTTAGCTGTCTGACATATCTGTCACAAAGACTTCTCTGTTCATCACTGGGCTGTACATGACAGGAAAAATCACATTATGGGTTTGTTCAAAACGTTTTTCTCTGCCTGATTCTTGTACCCAGGCAAGTCTGGGATATGTTGAGAAGAGGTTTTATAAGTGATGTCCTAAGAAATATCAGTGGTGTGCCTGATGTGCTCATTCTTGAGGTACTGAAATACAAGTTTATGCTTTGTGTCTTCAACAAAAAAGGTTGAATCCTGTCCTCTGGTGTTCACACCAGCTCCACTAAAAAGTCTTGGATAAGAGTTCTCTGAAATCAGAGAAAGCATAAGTGTCCTATATATACAAACAAGCATTTTGCAAATAGGAACAGCATGCAACAGTGGATATATAACTCCTCTGAACAATAAAGACTACGTGAAGCACTGCGTCTAGTGCACAGTTCTCCTCAAGTCTTTGCAACATGTCCCCATTTTTTCCTACTTCTCGCTTAGCTCAAATACATTTTAAATTTGTACGATGGGGATTCTGACTGTGAAATGGGCTTTAAGCAATCTTCATTTGCAAAACATCCGAAGAAAAGTAAGGTAGGAAAGTGATTAATCTTGTGGGCTTTACATGCCCCCTGGTGGAAAGCCCTCAGTGTAGCCGTAAGGATTTAATGCAAAAACATCGCTTGTAAACAGATGTGTGGTTCATGAAAACGCATTCTCATTTGAGGCACTGCACCATTATCGGTGTACAGACTATGAATAAGAACACACAAGATCCCAAGTTACAAACGAACACCTGGACTCATTTAAGTGCTGCTAGCATGATGTACATTGCTCGTACAATATAAATTGCTGGCCTAAAATTTCTTGCAGGCAAACGATGCCAAGCTCTTAATATATATAAAATGAACTCTAGTAACTTAAGCAAAATAATCACAATTTTCCCCACAGTCTTTCCAGGATTTCAATCTGGAGGGTTTTGAAGGATACACAATACCTTGTTACAAACCATATAATGTTTTAAAAAGTATCCAACTGACAACCTTGGCTAACATTGTATCTTCTATCTAGATTACTTCAATATGTCATGTCCATATCACACCACTCTGTCCATGGTCCCAATGCCAAGGATTTCTGTCTTGTCCAACCTTTCCATCTGGAAGCAATGAGCTTAATATTCTGGCTCTACCCCCATAAAAGCTATGTCACAGAAAAGTAGCAGTCTTGCGAACTGTTGTATACCCTGAAGACAAATTTGAGATCCACATAGTCTCTCTAAGTTCTACTCAGATTCAGTTAAAGGCAAGTTTTCCACTCTACTCCCATAAGACCTCCAACATACCATAACACCGTAAGAGCAATTTGACAACCATTTATGCTTAAAACCTGTCCTAGGCATGTCAAAGGGCTGTGTTTAACAGATAATGAAGGGCTACGGTGTTCCTTTGGGGCAAAACACATTGTGTTGTAAGATTCGCTGTTAAGAGGCTGTTCTTTTCATTGTGATTCCTCTGAAAGCCTAAAACAAAGAGAGATAGAAGTTTTTTGTTTTCAAGTCTTTTCTCATCTACTTTAAAGCCAAAGCAACCTATCTAGGAGCCCATTATACCTATGGAGAAAAGGATGAGGCAGGTATTGCCCATCAGCTTGAGCTGTCGCTCTGATTCAGCATTCATCAGCACAGCCTGGCATCCAAGAGCAAGGGCAGTGCTCCCTTCTCTGCTGCTGGGTGGAGGGATGGAGACCTGTTCTGAGCAGGTTTGCTTTAAATCTCTTTTCTTTTAATTTTCTTTCTTTCTTTTTTTTTTTTTTTTATTGCAGGGTGAGGAAGGAGGGACATAATCTGAGCAAAGGTTTTATAAGTGATGTCCTAGGAAACATCAAGAACTACCAAAACACTGACTGTGTGTTGTTTTCATTTTCTCATGAGCCATTTTTTTTTTGTTCCCTTTTCTAGTATTACCAGCAGTTTGCAAAAACTGGAATCCTAAGCCAAAATGTGACAGTATTCCTCAGGCACCTCACCCGGGCTGCATAAATTTACAGAGGGAAAGTTATCTCACCTACCTTAGGCACCTGTTTTTGGTTGGGATGAATCTTCCATTGGAAGTGCCTCTCTCCCCACAGTAACTATAGACAAAGATAGCCTTGAATTAATATCTAAATAACTAGAATAAGGCAATATCAGTCCCATTTTTTTGATGCCAGGATTAAAACCAGAACTTGTTTGAGTCAGCTTTTAGGTCTCTTTTATTCTTACACCATTATAAGAACTCATTTTCTAATTCCTTGACTCTTTTAATTACATTTAAATTGAACTTATTAGCATTTAATTGAAACTTCATTCAATGCCTCTCAAAATAGAAATCAATTTTAAGAATTACTTATTCTGCAGTAGGAAAATGTGCTGATACAGGTGAATTAATCACATGTTCTTAGAATCATTACTATATTCTTGCTGGCCAGAAAAAAGACGAAGAATTGAAAAATGCAGTTGTTCTGAAACCAAAATGCTTTGCCCAACCCTATTAGATTTGCTGAAATACGTTTTGGCAGATAAGCATATTCTGACATTGCCAAAATGTCCTGTTTTATAATTTTGGAACTGGGTATCTAATATTTCTTTTCAAAATAGTTTTTCATGTTTAATGTTCCTATGATGTGTTTCATTTTGTGTTCTCAATACAATTAAAAAGTCAACCATAATCAAAAGTTTCTGAGACATTTCAGTTGATACAACACATTTTTCTTAAAACTTTCTCTTCCAAATAATTTCAGAATTTTCAGAAGTTGTGCCTAACTGGCCTAAGATCAAATTTGAAAATCCTCTGCAAATTTATTTTCTGCATACGTTTGATTTATTGCTGATATTCCACCAAAAGTGTGTCAGCCATAAACCTCTTGAAGAGCTGAAAGGAAAAGAGATTCAGTGTTCCTCAGAGAGGACTTTACACTTTCTGGGCCAGGACTTAAAATTCGTTTCCACCACTGCAAGACTACCCAGTACCAAAACACTTTTCTTCAAGTGAAGCCGAGGAGAGATTGGTGGTAATTTTTATGTCACCTTGCACAATTTAAAGTGTTTAGAGGATATAAAATGAAAAATTATAATCTGTGAAAATACAGACGTTAGTTTATAACATTAAGATGCCCGACTGGTTAAAGTTCATGGTAGCTCTCATTTGCTTCTGTGAATTGCATCTTCAAGAAACCAGAAAGTAAGTATTTCTTCATAGCTGTAGATTCCAAGGCATGGGGTTTGATATGTTTATTTATTAGCATTGTCTTCAAATACAAATTTGCTATAAGAAGCCAGATCCCTCAGCCCATTGAGTCCATTTTGTGCTACTTCATAACTCACTTCATAGCAGTGGAAAATGATGTGTACCATCTGGAGGGTTCTCCTGAATATTTCCTCTGCGAAGATGGTTGCTGTAAAGCCAGCAGAGATGTCTTCGCTATCTCTGACACCTCTGCTGTGCTGCCTGGCATGAGAGAAAAGGGTGTGTTTACAGAGAAGACAGAGAATGTGGAGAGAAAAACATTTTTGCTGCTTGATTTTCCCAGAGCCTACTTTCAAGCCAAAGTGAATTGAAAGTTCAATTTGCTGACAATATTTTAAGGCATTTCACAGGACAGTTTTGAGTTTTGTTTGAATGTTGGTGATGTTATAAAGCCAACCACACTTTTCAGCCAGTCTTCCCTTCTTTCCTAACTAGCAGACTAGAACTCAGCCTAAAATTTTTCCCTAGCAAAAAAATCTCTGCTTTTTGCTGCTTTCCAGGTCACCAGTTACTCTTTCCTCCTAGGAGTGGGTCAAAACAGGTGATTAACTCGCATGCTGAGATGTCACCCTGACTACAGATGGACTCTGCAGAGGGACAGGCATCTCCCTGTGACATCCTCTGGCAGGCTAAAGTAAAGTAAAGCAGTCTCTTATTGCTATAGCAGCCCTCAGTGTATCTGCAGCTCCTTGCTTTTGACAGCTATTTAAGCTTTACTTTACTCAGACCACTCCAGAATCTACCATGTCATCAAAACCAAAGACCCCCAACAGCCAAGTAATTCTTCCCTTCACCCGCAACACACATACTCACATGTGAATTAACAATGTTAATAAAAGGTAAGTTTCAGCTTTTTTTCAAAGGACATGATCTTGTCATGTCCTAAAATTCCATCATAGAAGAAAACAGTAAACCCACTGTCTCTTTCCAAAAGAATTTATAGTACTAGTATAATGAAAGAAATATAGGATAAACACAGGTGGGAAGAATAAAGAAATAATTAGGCAACCTTATATTTGGTGAAATACATTAGCATACTCTAAAAAATGAGCTAAATGATCCTGCTTCATCTGGCCTTCCTACCTGGTATAGAGTCATAGAATCCTAGAATACTTAGGGTTGGAAAGGACCTTAAGATCATCTAGTTCCAACCCCCCTGCCACGGGCAGGGGCATCTCACACTAAACCATCTCACTCAAGGCTCTGTCCAACCTGGCCTTGAACACCGCCAGGGATGGAGCATTCACAACTTCCTTGGGCAACCCATTCCAGTGACTCACCACCCTCACAGTAAAGAACTTCCTCCTTATATCTAGTCTAAAATTCCCCTGTTTAAGTTTTAACCCGTTACCTCTTGTCCTATCACTATAGTCCCTAATGAACAGTCCATCCCCAGCATCCTTATAGGCCCCCTTCAGATACTGGAAGGCTGCTACAAGGTCTCCACGCAGCCTTCTCTTCTCCACGCTGAACAGCCCCAACTTTCTCAACCTATTTTCATAGGGGAGGTGCTCCAGTCCCCTGATCATCCTCATGGCCCTTCTCTGGACTTGTTCCAACAGCTCCATGACCTTTTTATGTTGAGGACACCAGAACTGCACACAATACTCCAGGTGAGGTCTCACAAGAGCAGAGTAGAGGGGCAGGATCACCTCCTTTGACCTGCTGGTCACACTCCTTTTGATGCAGCCCAGGATACAGTTGGCTTTCTGGGCTGCAAGCGCACCCTGAAGCCGGCTCATGTTCATTTTCTCATGGAACAGCACCCCCAAGTCCTTCTCCGCAGGGCTGCTCTGAATCTCTGCCCAACCTGTAGCTGTGCCTGGGACTGCTCAGACCCAGGTGTAGGACCTTGCACTTGGCATGGTTAAACTTCATAAGGCTGGCATCAGCCCACCTCACAAGCCTGTTGAGGTCCCTCTGGATGGCATTCCTTCCCTCCAGGGTATCAACTGAATGACACAGCTGGGTGTCATCAGCAAACTTGCTGAGGGTGCACTTAATCCCACTGTCCATGTCAGCAACGAAGATGTTGAACAGGACCCCTACCAACACCAATCCCTGAGGGACACCACTCGTTACTGGTCTCCCGCCGGACACCGAGCCATTGACCACAACTCTTTGTGCGCAGCCATCCAGCCAGTTCTTTATCCACCGGGTGGTCCATCCATCAAATTAATGTCTCTCCAATTTAGAGACAAGGATGTCATGTGGGACAGTGTCGAACGCTTTGCACAAATCCAGGTGGATGGAGTCAACTGCTCTCCCCCTGTCCATCAGTTTCGTAGCCCCATTACAGAAGGCCACCAAATTGGTCAGGCAGGATTTCCCCTTAGTGAAGCCATGCTGGCTGTCACCAAGCACTTTGTTTTTCATGTGCCTTAGCATGCCTTCCAGGAGAATCTGCTCCAAGATTTTGCCAGGCACAGAGGTGAGACTGACTGGTCTGTAATTACCCAGGTCATCCATTTTCCCTTTCTTGAAAATGGGGGTTATATTTCCCTTTTTCCAGTCATCGGAAACTTCACCTGACTGCCATGATTTTTCAAATATGATGGCCAGTGGCTTAGCGACTTCATTTGCCAGCTCCTTCTGGACCCGTCGACTGCTCACCTGCCCCCAGACAGAGTTCCATACTCTCCAGCCTATCCCTAACATAAACAGCAACTCCCCCTCCCTGTCTGCTGGGTCTGTCTTTTCTAAAGAGCTGTAACTTTCCATTCGAACACTCCAGTCACAGAAGGCATCCCACCATGTTTCTGTGATATCTATTACATCATATCCCCGTAGACATGCACATGTTTCTAATGTATGCCTGTATTTGCTGGAGTTCAGTTTTTTTTGTGAGAGTGACTGTGTTCACTCTCAGCATTGTTATAAAAAGAGAGTGAATTAAATGACCTTGAGCACAAATGTGTCCAGAATTAAAATTATTTATTATAATGATTGAAATTATTCTGAAGGTGGCTTGAAGTTAAGATGATTGTTACACGAAACTGCTTGAAGAGCATGGAGCTACCTCTGAATTTTCTTATGATATCCAATTATTTGTCCCCAGGTCATATAAATTCATATTGCTAAGCAGGTTACATTTACGTACTACTGTTGAAATCTGAATACAACTGCTGTTCAAGTTTCAACTAATTTTTCAAGACTGTCTCTCAGAGGAAATGGAACCTCATGTGATTTAACTGTTTGGGGAGGCAAAGGGGGGTTAAATTCGGTAAATTTATGTTCATTATAAACAAATCCAAATTCCTAGCTAGTATGGTATGACTAACATATGTCACATACTACAGCATGTCTGCTGTACCCTTTAACATTTTAACAGTCCATCAGACATTAATGTGACTTAAACATCAAAAACAGGTTCATTTTGCCATTAATATCCTGAAACAAGAACATCTAATATACACATCCTGAGATTTAATCTGTAAACATAACCAAAAATGTCTGGATGAAGGGGCCTTGTTTATATTTCAGTAGTGCTACTTCCATGAAGCATGTGTCTGCTATCTTTAGTATGCAACTCTAGCATCCTACCATTGAGAAAGCCCTAGTGTCTTTGATACTGTTAGGGAGACTTATAAGTCTTCTGCTGACAAACCAGTCCCTTTGTAGATTCCCTAAAGTTAAAGCTACTGATAAACATAACTTGTCTTATAAAAAATAGAAGAATTTTAAAACCACTTCAAACATACTCAAGATTTCCATATTCTTTTTTTCCACAGTGTGAAAGCAGGTTCTGAAGTGCTTTGGAATTAAAAGGATATGCTTCTCTTTACCAAAGTAATGACTTGTTTAATAAACAAGTAGGGAAAAGGAAAAAATGTGCAGAGACATGCAGAGTGACAAAATAAGAATATCTAGATCAAACTTAATGAAATGCAAAAGAACTTTCAATCCAGTCAAATCCCTTTGTTTATTTTTCTATCATTATTCAATACTTGGTTCTTGCATTGATGAATTCTTAAGGAGGTACATTTCTTAGGAATTAATGTAGGACAAAACATATGTGCACTAATAGTCTCCAAACACACTGTATCTATCAACTGTGTTAGAACTGAGTGAAGCCACTACAGTCAGGAAGATAATGAGGAAAAAAAACAGAGGAAAAAAAGGAATAGTTATACACTTTGATATCTGCTAGATTGTTTAATCCAGCTCTTACGTAGATAAAACCACAGTGTAATTGCTATAGAGTGAACTGCATTAGCAACCATGGCCTTGGAAAACCCAGCCAGATGCATTCAAGGTCTGAAGTACAGATGCATGCTTCAATGAAGGCATGTCTTAAATCAATCATTGCACTGGTGGAATTTGTCAACAGCATGATTTTTGAAGAAAAATGCAGATTCATCTGAACTTTTTAGAGCAGTTCATGTGTTTCCATTAAATATTTGTCAGGAGAGTTTTGCAAGCTGAGGCTGGAATTTCTCATCAAAACAAGGGAAAGAGAATCCCTTCTCAAAATAGCTAATGGCATGTGAAACTCCTTTGGCATAGAAAAACAAAAGCAAGGACTTCAGTATGGTCTCCTGAGCCACCTAATTGCAGTATGTGAAACGGGGCCAGGGCAAACTTGATCACAGGCAGATGATTGTCAGTAGAGTTAAACTGTTAGAATGGTCCTTGGCAATAGTTTGGCCTGGGCTAACTACCTCTCTCCCAGAAATGTCCCACCACAGCTGAGGGGATAGTTTGAGCCAGTGTAGATGCAGTCAGCATGTTTTGGGGGTAAAAGCAATTAACTGTGTCAACACAAGCCGTGTGAGCTGGCCTCAGGGCAGACAGCAATCCCTGGGCAACTTCATTTACTAGTACAGCTGCAATACAGTAGTCCCTGTGAGCACATGCAATACAGTAGTCCCTGTGAGCACAAGGGGGAGTTACAAGATACTGCAGGGAAAGACTTTTTCACATGAATTTTTGCTGCATTTTTTTTTTTCTGGAATGGTCTCTACATTGTCCCATTGCAGACTAAAAATTAT